ATGTAGCAGTTCCTTTCTTTAGAAATTAGATGCATCTTATTAATAACCACGCCCACTAGCTCCGCACACGTACGATTGGATGAGCTTGTTCCCTTACTTCCTCTGGATCTCTGTCCACAGCCTGCTGTCTGGCGATACGTTTGGGTCGCAACTGGTACATGCCCATCTGTAAAAGTAAATGTCGTTTATACCCCACTCCTGATACCAAAAATGTGATACACCGTCTAGTGACCTGCCTACTATAAATAAAACATATATTTTTTTTAAAGTACGATACCAAGAATTCTTTATTCCTAAATAGCGGAAAGTTGTAACGAATTTGGTGTTAATTACAGAAGTTTCAGCGTCCCTCTGGTGGTAAAGAAAGAACACTCGTATACCTTTGACCTCCTTTAATCCAAATGAGATTGAACATCGCTTTTAAAGATATTTTTATATCTTTCTTGTTCTCGTACAGAAGTTGCACTAGAATGATTTCAGGAAGCAAAGTCAGCTCAAGATGCACTTATTCAGTCAACAACCAAAAATCACATGTAGGTTGATAGTAATAAGCCAACAGCATTTTTGTGGGTTCAGACAAAGCATTCGATAGAATGGCGCATTAAACATTATTAACAACGTGACAAAGTTTAGGATTTTGTGGAGCCACATACCAACTCATGGAACGTTATTTAAAAAATAGAAAATAATGCGTGAACATCAGCCAAGTGAGAATATGGCAGTTAGATGAGGAGTTCCACAAGGAACCGTATTAGGTCCAGTCCTGTTTGATTTGTGTATTAATAACCTGTCTACGTTGAACAAAGATGGACAAATTCACTGGACAACAAATTTTAGTTTTTTTAATTGTATCTTGTGGGAAAAGTGCACTTCTTTGTTAATTTTGGGGCGCTCAATCCAAAAATGACAATGAAATAAAAAAATTAGTTGCGGTTTAGAAAAAAAACTTTTTATTTTTAAGGATATATTAAAAAAAGTAACAAGATTCATATACTTATAAGAATCACTATATGCGCTGTCTTTTTGCTGTTCGTTTATGGATTCCACTTTCCCTGGTACCTTTCCATTGTTGAAATATCGTGATGAAAACGTTCGCCGTGCTCATCACTTACGGCCTCGCAATTGTCAGGAAAAAAGTCCAGGTGTGAGTGTAGGAAATGTATCTTAAGAGACATATTACAGCCCATCTTTTGATACGATGACAGCATATCTTTGACAAGGGTTTTATATTTGTCAGCTTTTCTATTTCCCAAGAAATTAGTGACCACCAGACGGAAATCATTCCAAGCAGTTTTTTCAATACCTGTTAAAGTGTTTTCAAACTGTGTATCTTTCAAAATATTTCGAATCTGTGGCCCAACAAAAATACTTTCTTTAACCTTTGCCTCACTTAGTCTTGGAAATTTCTGACGCAGGTATTGTAAAGCTGACCCATCTCTATCTAATGCCTTGACAAAGTTTTTCATTAGGCCCAACTTGATATGCAGTGGTGGTAATAAACATTTTTTCGAATCTACTAATGGCATATGCTGTACATTTTTTTGACCTGGCTCTAGGAATTGACGAACAGGCCAGTTTTGTTCAGTGTAATGAAGTGCCTTTGCCCGACTGTCCCATTCACACAAAAAACAGCAAAACTTTGTGTAGCCTAGCTGCAGCCCAAGTAAAAGTGCAACAACTTTCAAATCGCCACAAATATGCCATTGGTGCTCATCGTATTTTATGCATGTCAATAGGTACTTCATATTGTCATATGATTCTTTCATGTGAACTGCATACCCTACAGGAAGAGATGGTAAAATATTTCCAATATGCAATAACACTGCCTTTAAACTTAATGTTGAACTGTCTATAAACAATCTCCATTCATCTGGGTTATAGTTTATATTTAAAGCCGCCAGTAAGCCGTTAATGTTACTGCAGAAAACCAAGTTATTCTCCATATTGAAAAATGGTTCTAAGTCTTTGTGGCGTTTACGAAAAACACACACCTAAACATCGTCTTCTAACAAGTTTCACTGCTGCAGTCTTGATCCAAGTAACTCTGCCTTACATTTTGGAAGTTCTAAATCTCTTACAAGATCATTTAATTCTGACCTGTGTTATTTTGTGCGGTTGGTGGCATGACGTGCTCGGTATAAAATCAGGATCTCTTGACGTTGATGGCATATCTTCTTCCTGACGAATCACTCGATCGCCATGATCTGATTCGTTTTCTGATTCGCAAGTGTAGGATTCTGGGGGCTTTGGAATAGGATTTTCGTCACTGTGAGGCACAGGTCTCATCGCAGATGGTATGTTTGGGTAGTTAATAACCATTTTTTTTTTCTTGGACATACCTGTGGCTTGTCCAACACAAGGTACCATGCAAAAGTAACAATCATTAATATGATTTGTAGGCTCTCTCCAAACCATTGGGACAGCAAAGCGCATAGACCGTTTTTGCCATTTAACCAGCTCCTCAGACTTGAAGCACATGTATTACAGCAGATGTGGGGTGCCCACTGTTTGTCTTGATCACCTAGTTTACAACCGAAATAAAGCTGATATGCCTTTGTTATTAGTGGAGTAATAGACCGTCTCTGAGACGCAAAAGTCACATCACCACACACGTAATAAAACTGATATTGATTGTTTACACACTTTCGAGACATCTTGCAATGAACGCTGTCAGCCAACTGAGGAAAAAATGGCTAATATAAAACAATATAATGTACACGTATGTATAACGTAACACAATCATGCCGGGAATACATATAATTACCGTATCTCTAAAACTTGAACTAATATTGAAAAAATAAGTTTCATTCCGGTTTTAGCACATTAAAAATAGTAATATTTTGTTGATTTTATTTAGGATATTTTTTGGCTGTTGATCAGTGATTGGTTACGCTGATGATACAGCGATTATTTATTTAGACAAAGATCTTGGGCTTCTTCAGAAGATAAAATTGTATTGGATTTTTAAAAGCTTATATACTTTTTCAAGGAAAGGATTTAAAAGTCAAAATCAACAAAATATATTTTAAGTATGACATTTTTCCGCGACAGCGAATCTTCCTCGAATTTTAATCAACGTTGAATAGTTCCAAAAAGATACATTCAGTTGATATTTCGAATATTTTTTATTATTTTATTCCCAAAAATCAAATATTCCAGCAGTTTTTTGAGCAAAAAATATCTACACATGATATATTATGCCCTTGTTCAATCATTACTATCTTATGGAATCTTGACATGGGGTAGAGTTATGAGTAATTATTATAAACATTGAAATTACGCAGAAGTGGATTTTGAAGTTTATGTTGAACAAAAAGAAATGTTACCCCACAGAAAATCTATACAACGAATCTCAGATTTTCGACTGCCGGCAAACGTATTTTTATCATTCTATAATATACTAAGTGACATATAAATCCGAACACCCAGCTTAAATGGTTTTATTTTAATAAAAGTTGGCGAATGTATTTATCTTACTGTAAATAACAAGTGAAAAAATTTTCAGCCTTATCACTTGGACATTCCGGTTTTTATACTGCTTTTGTTCTAATTCACTAACGGTCTAAAAATGAATATTTCAGCCGCAGTAAAGAATCAACGTTGGCGGATTTTGGTTCTTGACATCCTTTACGATCGGTTACGATGCCTAGAGTACGGAGACCTGTACGATTTCGTCAACTTAGTGAGTTTGATAGCGGCCGTGTAGTAGGACTTCAGGAAGCAGTACTTTCTTTTCGGGCAATTGCAGTTAGAGTGCAAAGAAGTGTAGACACTGTGGTTAGGTGTTGTCAGGCATGGCTTCGAGAAGGCCGTACGCAAAGATCAAGGGGCACTGGACGCCGCCGTAGAACAACAGACCGTGAAGATCGCCGCCTAAGATTATTGTCCTTAAGGGACCGTTTCTCCACTACCAGGTCCATTGCAAATGAATGGTTTGCAGAACACGGAAGACCTATTGGCATGCGAAGTGTTTACCCACGAATGAGAAGTTTTGGCTTGTTTTCATACCGGCCACACTGGGTCCTCCCTTTAACTCGAGAACACCGACGTAATCGCCTTGAGTGGTGCAGACAACGGTCACTCTGGGATCAGGAATGGAACATTATTGTCTTTAGTGACGAGACCCGATTTTGTTTAGGCATGCACGATGGTCGTGCCAGGGTTAGCAGGCGACGTGGTGAAAGGGGGAATCCACAGTTTTTTGTTCATCACACTGTTGGAGTTATGGTTTGGGGTGGTACAGCTTATGGTTCCAGGTCACCTTTAATCTTGATCAGAGGTAACATGAACGCGCAGCGTTATATCCACGAAGTTCTAGAACCCCGTCTTTTACCCTATCTTGACACCCTGGCAGATCCAACTTTCCAACAAGATAATGCCCGACCACATGTTGCAAGAGTCACAATAGACTTCTTTCAACCTAATGATGTCACATTGTGACCATGGCCACCAAGATCTCCCGACTTATCCCCAATTGAGCACGTGTGGGATATGATGGGTAGGAGATTGCTCAATTTGCAACGTCCTCCTCAGACTCTAGAAGCACTTCGAGAGGAGTTGGAGGTTGCCTGGAATCAGATACCACAGGAGGACATTGACCACCTGATCAGAAGCATACCTAGGAGCGTTGGAGAATGCGTAGCACATCAGGGTGCATTCACACATTATTAAAGGTCAAAGGGCTTTAAAGCAGTGCAATCTTTTTGAAATTTTTATCATTTACTTATTATGCTTCATTAAGCACTTATACAAAATTTTATTAAAATAAAACCATTTAAACTGGGTGTTCGGATTTATATGTCACTTAGTATATATTTAAGAGAAAGAATCATATACTGAGTGACATAAAAAAGTAAACACAAACTGGCTGTATGTATTATTCGGTGATAAAGAAGCACTCAGTTTTCGTACATTCACGGTGTCAGTTAAATGTTTATTTGTGCACTAACACCAATATATTATTATTATTACTGTTAGTAAAAATCAAACTTTATACCAACCTGTCCGAGACCGGGAGGCGACAACGGGGCAAGTGGGCAGCTGGGTCGATGACCAGTTCCCGCCCCCGCGCCTGGCCCGCCCACGCTGGGCGCCACTGACCCCGAGGAAGCGCCGCCCCTGAACTTGGGTTGATAGGGCTCCAGCATTCGGATTTTGCCCCAGCGATTGAAGAACAGCGCGATGGCCCCCGCCCAGATGATTAACACCAGGACCACCAGCAGCACTTCTTCGACACGGACTACCACCACCGGGCTCTCTGAAATGGAAATTAGAAAGATATTGAGTAAATTTAAGCATCCCACAAACCGGCGCGAAATAATCGCGGCGAAGTATTCGCAACGAAATTCAGAGCGAAATTCGCAATCTGTTTCGCCTGTTTATTCATACCAAAGCGTCTTATTCGCTCCGCGAACGTGAAGGTTTCGACAGGTTGCGTACATTTTGTTTTTGCCTTTTGCAATGAGCTCGTCTTCAGAAGAAGAGGAGGCACTTCTATTTCTTGCTTTAGAAGAGGAACAAAATGCACGGTACGTTATGTTTATTTAACGCCATTTGATAGTTGGGTATGTATTAAGTTTAACGAAGTACATAAAACAAATATTTTCAATTTTGTTTAGGAAACGAAGGAAGTGGGTACATGATATTAACTTGGAGCGAAATAAATTTGGGGAATACCATACCTTGATGCCACAACATCGGCTGGATGAACAGCGCTTTTACGTATATTTTAGAATGACTCCAGAGTGTTTCGATGAAATATTGAACTTGGTGAAAGATGAAACACGAAAATTTGACACAAATTATCGTGAAGCTATTTCGCCAGAAGAACGACTTGCTATTACACTCAGGTAAAATTATTAGGCTTATCGAATACGAAAACTTCAGGGATCGTGAAATAAATATTTTATTGTAATAATTGGACTACATGTTGCCACTAGGATTAAATGTTGCTAAATAATTCGAGGCAGAATTTGCCTCCTCTGTTGGGTATATTATTGGAGTAAACCCAGTGCAGCTTGGGAAGGACGACATACTACTATCATACATACTTGCAGAATTCTGGGTAGACGCTGAAGACATTTCTTCAATATGTTCAAATTCTTCGTGCGCTACTAATTCGGCTATTTTTAGTTTTATTCGGGCTTGACGCTTTAAGGGAAGTGTTTTCACAGTCTGTGCATGTGCCAAGAAAAGTGAATCAATGGCCTCGTTCTTTTTTTTAGGTTTTTTACCTTCAAAATAATTAATGAGCTGTTGTACAGACGAAGATGTTGGTTCATAGCATTTTCTGCTCGTTTTATATTTTGGTGTAGTTGCAGTCTGCGGAAAGGTGTGCCCTGGAGTAGTTACTGCTGTAGTGTTCAATGAAGAAGGTGGTGCTGTCTGTGTTGACGAGGCGTTCTGTGCATCTTCTGCATCTACATCAGCATTTTCATCTTCTCCATGGCCGCGGTCCTCCAAATTTTCGGTTTCTACATTTCCAGCCCTTTCCTGATATATATTTGAGTTAAATTCGGCAGTCTCATAATGTATGACGTCAATATCTTTCACATTAGACGACGTTTTGGCAAATGCCAAAAAAGGACGGAAAAATTCCATGTAGTCAGCCCACTGCCATTTTTTTATGTTGCCCACTGCTTGGCTGGTCTGTGGTTTGGTAGATTTTATATATTTTGCAAATGTGTCTCTGATATTCTTCCACCTTTTTTTTACTTCATCACCTAAAAACGATTTTTTTTATAGATTCCTTGCCACTGGTGACACCTTCTATACCATTGGGCATAGCTTTCGAGTTGGCTTTACAACAGTGAGTGCAATCGTAACCGAAGTCTGTGAAGCGATATGCAGACATATTGAGCATATATATTTACCAGAACCAACAGAGAATATATGGAAAAAATGTGCTGAAGAATTTGAAAATAGATGGGGATTTCCCAATTGCATTGGCAGCGTGGACGGTAAACATGTAACAATCAAGAGACCTAACAACAGTGGCTCCAATTACTGGTGCTATTTACATAAATATTCAATAGTACTTATGGCCATTGTTGGCCCGGACTATAAATTTATATGTGTTGATATTGGTGGTTTCGGAAAAAATAGTGATGGGGGTATTTTCGAAACCTCAAACATGGGAAAACGATTTGAACAAAATTTAATGAGTGTCCCTGCACCTAGATTTCTCCCTGGGCAAAATGAAATCTGCTCGTACGTCTTAATTGGTGATGAAGCATTTGCTTTAAAACCATACCTTATGAGACCATTTCCTTATAAGCAGACTTTAACAGACGTCAGAAAAGAGAAATACAATGTAAGACTTTGTCGAGCTAGAAGGGTCGTGGAAAATGCGTTAGGTATTTTGTCACAAAAATGGCGAATATTTTACAGGCCATTAGAAACTAAAGTAGATACTACAAATCTAATTGTACGTACGGCATGTGTTTTACACAATTTTTTACGAAGTAAAAGTGGCGATGACAAATATTTTCAATTCTTAGATCCCCCAGAACCCGTGCTTGGAGCTTTTACTGATATAGCAAATGATCCTCGGCGGGCAGCAAGGCTAGCATTTTCTACTCGTGACAAATTCGTAAATTATTTTAATTCTGATATGCCTATGCCCAATATATAGAATGTTCGTTTTCACATTTGTGTAGACTGTAAATTATTTAACAAGTTAATAAAAAATATTAGGTACATACCATTTGTATTTAATTCTTTTCCTATTTCCATCCAAATCTTGTCTTTCTTTCTCACATTCCTGTATTCATCGTTCGACAAATCATACAAACAAGGATACTTTTTCACTATTTCTATCAATAATTCCGTTTTTGCCATTGCGAATTTTTGAAGAACGGCGTCAAAAACGCGGTCAAAGGCGAACTGAAATACGCCGCGATAAAAACGCTGGAACAATCGCATTCGCTTCGCACAAGTCTGAGACTGTCCGTAAACCGCCGCGTTTTAATCTGATCGCGAATTCATCGCAGCGAAATTTTCGCAGCCAAAGCGAATATTTCGCGCCGGTTTGTGGGATGCCTAATAAAGCAGGTGTTTTAAAATACGGTGGATGTGCACAGAAATCTCGTTATATTTGCGTTGCACTTTCACCTTTATTAGCAATATTGACTAGGGTTGGGCTGAATAAATCGTTCTTTTTAGTGATTCGACTCCATGGTTTCAATTCCGATCTTGGAAACGATTTCTTCGATTCCTTTTAGTTTCCATTCTATTCGATTACGACTGGAATATTGGCGACTGTGCACAGCATGGACTTTTTTGGGGCGATAGTACTTGAACGTGGAACATTTTGTGACCTAGCGTTCAGCTTGGTAGTAGAGTTTAGCCCAATTAGTCAGGGATAATTCACAATTTTTCTTGCTACCGATTGCGTTTGAGATGGTTAGCCTGCCTGAAGCTACTGGAATCGGAATCGAAATTATTGGATTCCGAACCGAAACCATCACATTCACAAATAATAATTTGTCGCTTTGCTGCAAAACTGGACAACGGTCTTTCCCGGTGGTTTTGCGGTTTGAAATAACACATATCTCGAGTTAAATTACAGTTTTCCTCATAAGATAATGCATAAGTACAGAAATTTTCTTATATAAGACATCTAAACGTAATATTCTTCAATTTAAGAAATATTGCGGCAACATCCCAATTTCAATTACGGCCTAGAAGTTCATGATTTATCAAATAACATCACACAAAAAAAAGTGTTCCTTTTGACAATTATTATTATCCTATTACCTTTTTGCTCGTGAGCCTCAGCACGTAAAATATCGAGGTCAGAATCGGAATCGTAAAAGAATGGAAGGAATCATTTGTGTGGTAGGGAGGAAAATCCTGAACGAATCGAGGGAATCAAGTTTGAGATCGGAATCGGAACCGTGAACGAATGGAAGTAATCGATTTCGACACCAGAAGCGGAATCATGGACGGATCGAGTCCGATGTAGGAATCGGAATCGCAGAACAATACAAGAAATCGATTTAGACTCGATAAAGCCGAATCGTGGATGAATCAAAGGTATCGATGAGCGAATTAAAGAAACGGAACCGTTAACGAATCAAATGAACTGATTCCGAGGTCAGAGTCTGAATCGTGAAGATGGGGGTAACCGATTTCGAAGCTCTTGAACGAATCGAAGAATTCCGAGGTTGAGGTAGGAATCACTAACGGATGGAACCGATCGATTTCGAAGCCGGAATTCGCAATCGCGAACCAGTCCAAGGATCCGGTTCCGAGACTGAAATCGGAACTATTATCGAATGAAAGAAATCTACTCCTGAGCTGGTATCGGTATTGTAAACGAAGGATAGGAAAGAACTCAAAGCTTGATCCAGAAATGTGAATGGATCAAAGTAATCGATTCGGAGGTCGGAACCGAAATCGCATACCAATCGAAAACGGGAAAAATCGATTTTGAGGCCTAAAGCGAAATCGTGATCAAACCGAAGGTATCGATCGAAACCTGAATCATGAACGAACGGGAAAAATCGATTCCGAGGTCGAAATCAGAATCGCGAAAGAATAGAATGAATCGATTTCGATGTCGGAATCGGAATCGTGAACGAATCAACGAAACAGATTCCAAGACCGAAATCGGAATAGTTAACGAATCGATTCCAAGGTCGAAATCGGAATCGTGAACGAATCTAAGGATTCGACTCCTAGTCTGGTAATGGAATTATTAACGAATAACACGAATCGATTTTGAAGCTGGGATCGGAATCGTCAACGAATCGGAGGAATCGATTCCGAGGTCAGAAAGGGAATCTTGAACGGATGTTAGGATCGATTTTGAGGCCTAAAGCGAAATCGTGATAAAACCAAAGGTATCGATCGAAAGCTGAATCATGAACGAACTGGAAAAATCGATTCTCAGGTCGGAATAAGAATCGTGGAAGAATAGGAGGAATCGATTTCAATGTCGGAATCAGAATATTGAACGAATCAAAGAAATAGATTCCCAGACCGAAATTGGAATCGATTCCAATGTCGAAATTGGAATCGTGAACGAATCTGAGGATTCGACTCCTAGTCTGGTAATGGAATTATTAACGAATAACAGGAATCGGTTTTGAAGCTGGGATCGGAATCGTGAACAAATCGGAGGAATCGATTCCGAAGTCAGAATCGGAATCTTGAACGGATGTCAGGATCGATTTTGAGGCCTAAAGCGAACTCGTGATCAACCCAAAGGTATCGATCGAAAGCTGAATCATGAACGAACGGAAAAATCGATTC